GTGTGTAAAAGTTCAGGGGAAGGGGAGACGAGTTATCGCTGTTTGAGCCATTTACCGCTGCTTAGACCATCTTCCGTTGAAGCATGGTAAGTTCTAGTCGCTGCATTGCTCTGACTGAGTGGAAGTTTGGTGGAAGATGTCAGACTTTGCGAATCGCGCGATTCGCTAGCGTCTGCGGTCGCGTCGCGGCCAGTGAATCACTCAATTGGCTGGTACCGCAACGCGACCGCGGACGCTAGCGAATCGCGCGATTCGCAAAGTCTGACATCGGCCTAGGCTGATGCCATACTTTGCGAACCAGCGATTCTCTAGCTAATCGCTGGACCCGCAGTCTGACATTGGCCTCACAGAGCGCAGGCAGAAGTGTGGAATCAAATAGATTCGCGCGAAGTTGTGTCAGTATGATGGTTAGTGCTCTTTGTATAGAGAAGGCTGCCACCTTGCTCTCTGTCGTTCTTCCAGCTCTTCCTTCACGTCGTTGTCCATGCTTATAGAATGTTTGATGGCTGAGCTTGTTTTCTCGGAATAATGTGACTATATTTCAGATGGCTTCCATCCAGTGTCTCAATCCTAAGGCTGAACTTGCTCGACATGCCGCTGCTTTGGAGCTCAACATCAGCGGAGCGAGAGGACTGCAGGAAGTGATGCGATCCAATCTCGGACCTAAGGGTACACTCAAGATGTGCGTTATTTCGCTATGCTTCAGATTTTGTTCGTACACATGCCTCAAAGATTTATCACTTTATGCTTCCCTAAATTTTCTCATTTGCATGTATAGGGTCACCCGTGTGGTTTTAATCCCTCACAAACTCATTTATAACGATTTATAACGATGACAGAGGTCAACAAAATATCGAACGGCTAAGAGGAAGTGTATGTATATTAAGTGATGGCTCAAAAGTAAAGTATTGCAGTGTTGTAAAATCGCTGATATTAAGTTAATCTCATAACACACTCTGTTACCCTCATTGTTTAAAACTAATCGCATGAGGGATGCCATTGGAACTGGGTGGAATTTTTCCATCCTGAATGTAGCATTATACGGAGAGGATAGCAAGCAATATGGGGTTAGCATCTCCAGGTACATGTATATGTGTTAGTGAGTGCGGACAGTCATATGTATTTTGCGAGCATTACAATGCTCTCATAGGTACAACATAGTTGGGAGGCGGCAGCCACCGCCAGACGCGCGGAACGTTGGCACCCTGTGGTGTAAAACGAGGAGTTCGTGAGCCGGGGAATGGAGGCGGTTCGGGGAGTGGGGGGAGTCACTGGACATGCGTAAAATCTGGAATTTAAGGATTTTCCAAGTTTACACTATCTCGCTGAGAGGATGCAGATGTGCCAAGCGCCACAGCGGCGACAGTTCCCCTCCTCCCCCTCCACAATTACGTCAGGGTTCTCGTATATTCGCATTATCATTCCGCGTATTGGTACGCCTAAATACAAGGCTCGTAGATATACATGGTTTTGTGTCTGGGAATGTAAGTTCGTAATAGCGTTATGTCCGAGTCTCTCTACATGAAAACATTACCCAAAATTGGTTGCGTATGCGATCTGGATATGCTTTCCGTTTGACCTTTCCGAATATAGGATGAATGAGGTGTTCCAGGGTGTAGTGATTGAATTCATAGTAATTAAACAAGCTTGGGATAGACGCGGTGTATTTGGGCATGTCTTCCTTTCGTTGCACCTTTTTTGGACCGGTGAGACTTTTGGCTCAATTTAAGTCACGTAGTAAAGCAGTCTAAAGGTGTGTATTGTTGAGAAATGTGCTGCCTTAGCTCGCAGTGAATTGACTTGAACTCCACTATGGTGTTTATTTTCTCCAGGATTTTAAGGTATCCGTATATCTCGCTTCAAAGTTCTGAACTTGAATTCGCCTTTTGAATGGCTACTTTTTTGGTTGAGAAGTGTCTGAACAACAGAAAAAATGTTTCAGGTTGGTGTCAGGAGCAGGTGATATCAAACTAACCAAGGATGGCAACGTTCTTCTCCATGAAATGGTAATGCACTTTGTAGCACAAATGTTATCCTCAGTTGTCTTGAAGCGGCCGTTGATCTTTCCAGCACTTTCTGAAAGCAGCAGGCATGAATCTGTTCCTTTTTTAGTCAATCCAACATCCAACTGCGTCGCTGATTGCGAAAGCCTCTACAGCTCAAGATGACATTACCGGTGATGGTACGACTTCAACCGTGCTTCTAATTGGTGAACTGTTGAAGCAAGCCGAAACTTATGTTCTCGAGGTAGAACAGTTTGATGCTAATGTGTTATTCCTCTCTCAATTCTATTTACATTTAGGGTGTTCATCCGCGCCTTCTCACTGAAGGTTTTGAATGGGCAAACGAGCGTACTCTGGAGTTATTGGATAAATTTAAGCAGGAGGTTAGTTAATAACCTTGTACTACTGACTTGACTTAGTGTAAGAGCAGTAGTCGTTATAAATGTAGTGCTCGCTTGAGTGACAATGAAGGCAATATTGTGGCTGCTTAGCGGGTACCTTGAAGCTTTGTAAAACAAAACCAAAAAAACAAAACGAGTTTATTGAGCCACAATCGCCACCATCGAAAGCGGCATGGATTGAGCGGCATCAAGCTTGGATTGTTAACCGAAAGTTAGGGTCCATTTTTGTTCGGGGTGGGGGGAGGGTGTTGCGGTGTTGCGGTACACATCTGCTCTAGTTCGTTTGGTACAAGTGCCCTTTAAAATACAAACTGCTGTCAGCTTTATTCCTACAGTGTTCCTTATGGCTGTTTACGATGTATATGTTCTTGTGTTTTGCAACATAAACGTCCATGAAAAGTAATCTTTCCCTAGAGCAGCTAAAACTAAGCATACAAAGGGGGAGAAAGTCTCCGGAGAACGCAAGCATTGCTCACGAACCCGGGGTTTTTCCTCCTTTCTGAGTTCCAAACCTTTACACTAACAAAAACTATCCCTAGTTTTGAACTCGTTGAGCGCTCGAAACAGTATGCCCTTTCACCCCTCCCCCACCATTGGAGTAGGCTCAAAATTCATTCCAAGTAATAGAACATTAAAAGGTTCCATACAAGCGGAGAAACAGCGATTGGGAAGTGTCAGGGTCGGCTATATGCTATTGCCAGCTGGTTTTCGACAGAAATTCTACAATGGAATTTCACAAGAATGCTGGGTTGTGAACAAAACTTTCGCCCCAGGCGGGACTAGAACCCGCACCTCTCGCCCGGGCAAGTGCGCTACCAGTTACGCTACCGGGGCACCATTTCATTCCAACTCAGCTTTTCATGGTATACGTACCATAGCTTGTCAGCACTCACACGTATAACGTGTTGAGCCGGTTAGCCGATATCGGCAATGACCGCGAGGCTGAAAGCTTTAGCAATGAATTTTGACTTGTTTTGTTTGTTAACTGCTGTTTTAACCGCAGTTCGCCTTGCGAATGTTTCACAACCCAGCATTCTTGTGAAACATTCGCAAGGCGAACTGCGGCCAAAAACAGCAGTTAACAAACAAAAACAAGCCAAAATGGAATGTTCATGTGTTCGATCCTTCTCCTTGAGAATGAGAATCTTTTCGTTCTCGAATCTCCGAACAACTTTCTTTGTATCGAAGAAGGTTTTAGATTTTGGTGGTGGCAGTGATGGTAGTTATAAATAGTGTTTTTCATCAATTCACCTGAAATTCTAAAACGCGCTAGACTGCTGTGGTGGGCTCTGTATTCGCTCATTTTAGTTTACTATGGATGCAAACGCATCTCTTTGGTCAAATCAAATTTGGGAGAGGAATCTCAGGCCACAAGTCGTGTAGTCTTTTTCCAACGGAAAATTTCCTTCTAAAAACTCATTTTTACCGCTTGGTATTGCCGTGTTAATTTGAAAACATAAAAACTTGTTGGTAGCATTCAAATATTGCACCCCAACAACTCAAATTTTTATTTTTAAAAATTCTGTCCTTAGAGATGAATAATTCGATGCACTGATTACGAAAACAACGTTCGGTTTTGGCGCTGGGATATTTGGCGTCAGTTGGCGCTGCTGTGCCACGACGAGTTTTACAAACTCGATATAAACTTCCGTACAGGGGTCACTTGGTGTTCTTAATGCGACAATGACATTCGTCCTTAGCATTAGCGCTGTTTAGCGCATATTTGCTTCTCTCTTGGGCTCTATAACTCAAGAAGCCCAAAGTTAACTTCTGGGTGGAAGAGGAGGGGGAGGGTAGATTTTGGGGTGAGGGAACCACGCACCGTGTGGTGAGAGTTGAAGTATGTGATATAGCATAGTGAGAGGCTTACTCACCTCGAAGCCTCTGTCCTGTGTACTAGTTTATAGAATTTGATGAAAGCAGCAACCGTGACGAAGATGTGACAGCTGGCGCCAGCGGCAAAAACAAATGCCATTTTTGTAATCATGGCATCGAATTACCCTTCTTTAGAAAGTTACGACAAAAAAAACCGTACTGGATAAAAAATGATATGAAAGAGAAAACCGGAGGGAGCATATCAAAGGTCTCGAAGAAATAGTGAATCAGTCAATTTTTGGCCGAAGTTATTTTGGTGTCAAAAATTTTCCAGTGGGTTGTACAGAATACAAGATATGTTAAGTCCTGTAGGTCCTTCCTTGCTTTCGGATCCGCATAAAGCTGCGTCCCAAAGGGTCCACTATTGCGTTAAGTTGTGCTCGCAGCTCGAATTTTATTTGAAGTTTAATACGGCCTCTGTTTGGTGTGTGTTATAGAACTGCAACTTCATCCAGAATTTCGCGCATTTCGACTGCGTCACTAATCTTTCATGGATTTCGTTACGATTTACTTTTTCAAAATTCTGAAAACGATTTTTCTCTCGTGTCATATAAAGGAGAATCGTTGAAAATCGTTTCGAATGTAACTCTTCATTACTGTATCAGAATTTCGTAAAAGTTCAATCGAAAAATCTCGAAAATACAGGCGAACACTTCTCTTTCACACTATTCTCTGCAGAATTTCCTTGCGTTCTTGATGTGCCACTGAACCTTGCTCGCTACAGTTTGCCCCTGCTGAAAAGTTTTATAACATTTGCTGCTGCACAAGAAGATTTCCACTTTTTTAAGTCACTCTAGTAATATTGGCGCTATCGATGATTTGCCTTGTTCATGCTGCTCACGAAAGTTTGCTTGAATTTTTCGAATTGATGGAAGTTGAATTCTGAACATTTGGATCACTTTGACAAGTTGCCGAAAAGTGCCAGAAATTTACGATCTCTAAGGACATACTTTGATTAGTGCTGATATAATGAATATACATGCGTCTTTCAATAGAATTTGATAGTGTAATTGATTTTATCTGACTTACTGGACTTTTACGGCGGCCTCATAATGTCTTAATTGTAGGTCACCATTGACCGCAACGTACTTATTGAAGTGGCCCGAACTTCTCTTCGTACTAAGCTTCATCACAAGCTTGCTGATCACATCACTGAGTATGTGGTTTCACGGATGTTTGGTAGATTGCCATGCATTTTAATCTGTTCCACATTTGTAGGTGTGTAGTTGATGCTGTCCTGGCCATTCGTCAGGGCGACGCAGAGCCTGATCTGCACATGATTGAGATGATGGAAATGCATCACGAGAGTGATATGGACACAACTCTTGTGCGGTGAGATGAAACGTTTCTAGTTTATTTTCTGTTTAAGAAATACCGTGCACAGGAATTTTTCGCATTACTTCCCTGCGCCATGTGTGGCAGCGTTTGAAGTTTCATGCAGGAAAATCATATTTTTTGTAAAAAAAAATGGAAAAAATAGAATCTACACCACGTATTAAAAGACGGATCGACTAGTATCGGATGTGCCGGAGAAAAAAGAATTCAGTCTTCAGAAGTGGAGTGTGAAGACAATATATTTCAGCGTAATAGATGGGGATGCAATAGAATAATATGTGTTCGTTATGTGGCCTGGAGGAATGGGAAAAAAAAACTATTACTCGATGAAATGTTTTTGCCAAAGGTGAGAAGGCCACAACGATAGGCCACAAAAATTTTCTAGCGATGGCACTACAATTTGCAAATAGAAGCGTCCAAGCCGCCTACATTTGTGGCAGTTGTCTGGCGAGATTTTGAGCGAGTAATTTTTCAATCTTCCAGTCCTTTTTGAAGAACACATTTTTTCAATTTTTCCCCGTTCTCATTGGATTGGAAGGGAACAAGGAAAAAATGCGTTTTTGTGAAGTGGTGTGATGGACACTCGTCAAACATGTGACTCAAGCGGTTCATCGACGGGATCGGTGGAATCATAATGCTTCTATGCGCTCCTTCGAAGGCATATGCTACAATAAATTGATAGTTCGTTGAAAATGAAATTTAGTTGTTAAACGGTAGAGTTAGTGGTGAAGAAAATGAGAACTCCACTAGCAAGAACTACGATGACTAGCACCCTGGACTTTGTCCGGTATTAGAAATACACTTTTGAAATTGCAATCCCATTTTTCCATTTTTTGATCGACCTATTCTCAACGAGATTGAGGTAACGTTGCTCTTGAGAGCTGCTGCCTTTTTGCTAGCAATGTCGCGTTTGCAGCATGTTCTTCTGTTCCAAGCCCCATATAAGGTCCAGGAACACTGTGCACCATCTTGACCGTCACGTCCAAAAAGCAAAAGCTGAATTGCATTTTTAGCGTGACTGTTACATGCTATCTTATAACAGATAGGATGCCTAGATTGATACTAGTTTTTATGTCTCCAAGTTCGCCTTGAAACCTTGGCATGCACACATAGTTGTCGGTTCTTCTGTGGCTAACAGTTTTTTTCACATCGAAACGTTTGTTAGCGACGCTTCGACTAATTCGTCGTCTTCAAGGGCCTTAGCTTCGCCAGCACCCTAGAGCCCGCTCCCACGGCAAAATGAAGTCGAGAGTCGGCTTTTTCGTCAGTTGTTCACGGAGCCGAATGGGATTCAGTACTTGTGGAACCAACCATAAGAGGTCTTGAAAACGACGATTTGTTCGAAACGTCGACCAATAAAGTGTTCCACCATAACAAACCTGAAAGGCTAAACGGAAGGAAGACATGATCGGAATGCCCATGTTCCAGCTTTCTACTTCATTTTGGCGTAGAGCGGGCTGTAGGGTGCTGGCGAAGCTTAGGCCTTCGAAGACGAGGAGTGAGTCGAAACGTCGGCTTAGTAGGCGTTCCTTTATAAAAAAAACCTGTTTGGCGCCGAAGAATAGTTTTCGTCTCGTTTGCAAGAATTTATCAAAGTTTATTCAATGGTTTCTCTGCAAGTGATACCTGCGTTTTCACATTCTGTTCTGTGATTGAATCGGTATAGATGATATTTCAGGGGTCTCGTGCTTGATCATGGAGCTCGTCATCCTGATATGCCAAAACACGTGGAAAATGCTTACGTACTGACGTGTAATGTTTCTCTCGAGTACGAAAAAACGTGAGTTATGGTTATTCTCCAATGTTTCTGAATATATTCTCTAATTTTAATTCAGAGAGGTAAATTCGGGCCTGTTCTATAAAACTGCTGCGGAACGTGAAAAGCTCCTTGCAGCTGAGAGAGAATTTATAACAAGAAGAGTCTTAAAGATTATTGATCTGAAAAAGAAGGTGCGTCTTGTCGTTTAGGAGAGAACAACGCAATTCAGTTAAACAATTCACGTTTCAGGTCTGCAAGGATGGGGACAAGAAAGGGTTTGTGGTCATCAATCAAAAGGTTTCTCTTTTTTGTTGCTTACTCGTTGCTTTCTTGTTAAATTTTGCTCGTTCCAGGGTATCGATCCTCCTTCGCTGGACCTCCTAGCTGCGGAAGGTATCCTCGCACTTCGCCGAGCGAAACGACGCAACATGGAAAGACTGCAGCTTGCAGTTGGAGGAGAAGCTGTCAATTCGGTAGATGATCTCACACCTGATGTTCTTGGATATGCAGGACTAGTATACGAACATACCCTGGTAGGAATTTTGATTTCGCTATATGGAGCGGTTGCATCAGTGCTAGTTCTACTGTCACTGCGGTTTTTCCTGACGAAATAGCAATTTCTTAGGGCGAGGACAAGTACACATTCGTCGAAAACTGCAAGGATCCGAAGTCAGTAACGCTTTTGATAAAGGGACCAAACAAGCACACAATTCAGCAGATAAAGGATGCACTTCATGACGGTTTACGGGCCGTTTTCAATACAATTTCTGACAGTAAGCTTTTTGCAGTTGTTGGTTTGCCACAACATGGGAAGCAATATGGGTATCATCATTTTCAAAGAATTTTCAGTATTTGCCGTGCACAAGTAAACTTTTAGAGCATGTACTGCCTGGAGCAGGTGCTTTTGAGATAGCTGCGTATTGCATGTTGATGAAGGAAGTGGAATCGCTGAAAGGGCGAGCTAAATTAGGTGCACTGGTGAGTGAATTTTGGAGGCATTTCGGAGCATGTTATGTTTTCGATACTATTTCAGGCCTATGCAAATGCCTTGTTGGTGATTCCAAAGACCTTAGCGATCAATTCTGGTTATGATGCGCAGGAAACAATCGTGAAACTTGTTGAGGAGCGAAACGCGGGCGGCGACATGCCAGTTGGATTAGATTTGGAGAGCGGTGAACCAATGCAACCAGCGGTGTGTTGATATTTTCGAACAACGATTCGTTTGCTTTTGTTATGAGAGAGTGCACTTTATGTTTTTTTTTCTCACAAAGATCATAAATCATCACATTCGTCCTCTGAGCTCATCTGTAAAGTGCCCCTTTCAACAAGTTCGGTCAACAGGTTTTCCTTTTTCGGGAAGGCTCATCTTTTCTTGGTTCTCCCCATTTTCGTCTTTTCAAGGTTCCGCTTTGGCAGTCATAATTTCTTCTACTCAATTCTTGATTTCAAGTTCGTCTGCAAATTTTGTAAGACTTTTTTTTACACCCGTATGGATGGATCAGGGCTCTGGTTGGGCGTTGCCGTGACTTGTTATTGCGAACTCTGACTTTCTTCTCTGTTCGAAAATTTTTCAGTAAGCAAAAATTGCTAAACTCCTTACTTAGTGGTCCAGAGATAGGATTACACCGAGAAAAGGGAAGGATTTTTCTCAAATGCTGCTTGCCTAGCTCTACTTATGGTTCTTTTCTCGGAGCCTCTTAGTGATCTGAATGTGTAGCAGTAGTTTAAGACTCCACTTTTTCTTACACGAAAATTTTCGGAATTCGTTGAGAGTCTTGAACTATAGTTGCACATCCAGGAGCTTCAATTGAGTACTTTTACACTTTCAATGATCATAATTCTCCGTGCATGTCTATTGTCTCAACATTCTTTTGCTCCTCTTGAAATATCATCTCTTCACGACCCATACTTCCGTTTCTCAGGGCGATCTTTGCATTGTTTGTCTTCTGAGTTTTAGCTGTGTCTGCTATTCGTGCTAAGAAAAAAAAACATGGCCATTGTTTTTCTTTCTGTCATCTTCTTATTAGGCAAGGCCAGCTTTTATATTCTGCTTAGTTTATTTGTATCATATCTCTTCGATGTTGATCCAGCAGAGGTTTGTCTTTTAGGGCATTTGGGACAATGTTATTGTGAAGAAGAACAGTTTATCTTCATCATGTGTCATCGCCTGCAATCTCCTGCTTGTTGACGAAGTTATGCGTGCTGGTATGACCAACTTGAAGACAAATCAACAGGAATGAAGCACGTTTGCAAATTATGTTAAGTCATCCGATCTTCGCGTGATTTTGGCCCCTTGAACAGTTCTTTTTCTTATGCACTCGTCGCCCGAGAAGGGCTGATCTACAACCGCACCCAATGTAATCGTTACTTTTGTTGATTTGATTTTGTTTGCTTTTAATAAATTTTCACGCTTTACTGGAAAACGGTTCATTGTTACTGGTAATCCAATAGTCTTGTCTGCTGATCATTCGTAATAGTGTAAAGATGCATCCTCTTAAATCGGTGTAGGCTGTTGTCATTTTTGTTAAGCATGGCTGAGCCTCCATCATTGGAAGATATCTTGGCTAAAAAACGAAAAGAGGAGGAAGAGCAGGAGAAAGTGAGTTTTTGATATCGCTGGGATTGAGCACGTGTTATATCTGGTTCATCAGTCATAAACATCTACTCTACCATCTATACCCTCTATTCTAATACTGTTCAAAATTCCGGTCACTATGGTCTCACTTTTACCAGAGGTCCATAGACAGGTCCGGTCATTTTCGACGAGGTATGCTTCACTGCTTCGTTTTGATACAGTACTCAGTATTGCTGTTTCTGAACGATCTCCAATGGAGTTCGGAGGTTTCCTGGTCGCCCTGTTTCGCATGCTATCTTTATCGAAACAGCCCGAATTTCTCGCAAATTCTTCCACAGGCACCTTTAGGCAAACACTGATGCACTAATGATGTCAAGAGTCTCTTGGCTACGTTGCTAATAGTTGACAAAACAGCATTCTGCTTGCGAGCCAGATCACTACCAATGCGTATTTCCATTTCATAGTTCCGATCAAAGAATCTAGTTGGTGTGGTGAGCAGTCTTTCGCTTCGAAGCCTCATTGAAATAGCCGGACTGATCCATTGACTTTTCATGTTCAGTGAATAACTTCACTATATCACAATTATCCCACTCGTTTGGCGCGAAAGCGTCTGGTTAGCTCCAATGCAAGTTAGGCTTCTAAATTCGCTGAAAGTATGTGACCAGGCATTGGCTGAGAGCAATCATGAACAGTCGTATTACGTGTAAACGTCTCGTTTGCATTCTGCATTGAAAACCTTGTAAATCTTAATATTAGTTGCGTTGTAGAGAACTTGAGCCCAAAGCAAAGCAAGGACACGCGTCGAACGTTATTGCATCGAACTGATGTGGTATTCATGTCTTGAGTGCATTGTGCTTTTATAGTATATGATCACATGATCATAGTAGGGGTGCTAGAAGCCACTTATGAACACATTCCCACTAAAATCTGTGCGATTTTAAATGTCTCATATGCTTTCAACAACGAGATCGATTGGAACTGAATGCTTCAATTCCTGTTCGCCACCAGGACGGACGAGTTTTAGGTCTGCGAGGTTCTCTAAAGGAATCTATGCAGTGACAAGAAGAATTCCACTATTCAAGGCGTAAAAGATTTCTGCTTCAATTCTATGACGATATGTTCTCCTGGCTAAAAACATCATAATATGTTCATGTAATTCTCAAAAGCAAGATTTTTTAAATTCCAAATCCGTTTTCATTTTTTGCAAAAAATCGTTTTTGAAAAAAGTCGTCGTTTAATGCGTGACAATTCGCCTGAAAAATCTCTCCGTGACTGGGCAATTATCGGCAACGTCGCGATTCGTTTTATGCCGACTTTACCGAACACTCGCATCTTACGAGAATTCCGGCATTTGTTTTGAGTCATGTCGCAATATGGAACATATCGAGAAACCTTTTTCGTCTTCTTTCTGCATCAAAACTTGGATTTTCTTCTGTAACAAATTGGAATAAAATCATTACAAAGGCATATTCAGCTCTCTAACAAGAAAAGAACAGCTATGGTTAACATGAGATTAGTATTTGAAATTTTGTTACCTGGTCCCCAAGGTTTTGCTATTTCAGCCAAAATTTTTAACAAGAGAGGAACGTGCTGCGCTTGCTCTCCAACGACGTGCTGAGCAGGTAGAGCGCATGAAAGAAAACCAAAGACGAATTGATGAAAGTCGTAGGCAGTTTGAAGCTGAAGCGAAAAGGGCTGGTGAGATTTGTGTTAAATTATTCATTATGGGTAAGTTGTAGTAAGCATACGTATTAAGAGGGCCGTGATGGACGCGATCGAGACCGTGATCACGACAGAAATCGTGATCGTAGCAGAGAAAGAAGAGAGCGTAGTCGATCGCGAGATCGTAGAGAACGAGAAAAACGCGAAAGAAGTCGCAGCAGAGAAAGAGACAGAGATCGGGATAGACGAGGAAGAAGTAGAAGCAAGGAAAGGGACAGAGATCGACGGGATCGAAGCAGGAGTAAGGAAAAGCGAGGCGATCGCGACAAAGATGGTGCGCGTACCAACCGTACTGAGAGCAAGGTGAGTATGCAAAAATGATTCCATTGTATAAGTTTTGCTGGAAAAGGTGACTGTGTAGGAAGAAGACGACACTTTCGATCCGAATAAGCTGCAAGAGGCAGTGAAAGTTCGGTATCTTGGGCTACAAAAGGAGAAGAAGAAAAGGGGAAGACGTCTTCATGAGCGGAAGTTTGTGTTCGATTGGGACGCATCGGAGGACACCTCACAAGACTACAACAAACTCTACCAAAAGAGACATGAGGTGAGCATACACAGCTCCTGGTGCGCTCACGAATCCTCTTTTCGGTCGTTCAAGCATGTAATATTTTTAGGTACAATTTTTCGGGCGAGGTGCAATAGCGGGTATTGATGTAAATGCTCAGAAGAAAACTAATAACGTTTTCTATCAAGCTATCATGGAAAAACGTCGAACTGAAGAAGAAAAACAAATGGAAAAAGCTCGGTAATTCATTGAAATACTTTTCTTCTATCTGAAGGTCTGTGCAGTTGTGCTATCATGCCAATTCAGTCGCGAAAAGGAGAAAATAAGAGAAAGGAAGTCTGCTCATGACGATCGTCACTGGAAGATGAAGCCGCTTGATGAAATGACTGAAAGAGACTGGCGAATATTCCGCGAAGACTTTAATATTGCTATTAAGGTAGATACATGAATTGAGCTCAGGTTTTCCTCTGTGATGAGACATTGAGCCTAATATTATGATTTAGGGCGGGCGCGTGCCAAAACCGTTGCGAGCTTGGGAAGAGTGCGGTCTGCCTGATGAAGTCTATCAGGCCATCCAAAAAGTATGAATGTTACAATTACCTATCATCGGCTTTCTGAAAAAGGCTTCTTTCAGGTAGGATACACGGAGCCAACCCCTATTCAGAGACAGGCAATCCCTATCGGTTTGCAAAATCGAGATGTCATCGGAGTGGCTGAAACAGGTTCCGGAAAAACTGCTGCATTTTTGATCCCGCTATTGGTTGGTGATGTTTAAAAACTAAAGATATCCACGACAAGGACGTGGACGTTTCCAAGCAACCAATAGTGAACGTTTAAAATGTTTAATAACAGTGGGCTTCAGGGTTCTGAAAAGAAATAGCAAAACGTTAAGAAAATCGTGCTACACTGCATTTCACGCTGCATTTATTTCAACAGCATTGAATTTGTGCAAGAGTTTTTGGCCCTCATCCGATATCTGATAGTGGGATTTTGTTGCTTTTCTAGCGCCTCATTTCCTTCAAAGGTTGGATTAGCTTTCAAGCGGGCGATTAATTTTGGTCATTTCTTGAGCCTTCATGAGCCTCATTTTTCATAATTCATAGTAAATGTTACGACAATCCTTATCTTCGCTGCGTGAGAGGGTACTGTCGTTCTTCACTGCTGATTACTGCAATCTTTCGCACTTCGCTAAATAGCTTGTCGCCTGTCACGCAACTCAATCCGGCTTTGAGCGGCACCGAGGGCACCAAAAACGTAATTTCATATCGTTTATTAATGTCCGACATGCATAAAATTGTTGGCTTAATTGGAATTTTATTCGCATTAGTTGGAAGGGCGGAAGTGGTGTAGTGACAAGTGGCGCGCTTACCACGCGAGCGGTCCGGGGATCAAATCCTGGGTCGTGAGTCGCCCGGGCCAACCAAGCCTTCCATCCCTCCGGGGTCGGTTAATTGGTACCAGACTTGTCTGGGAGGATAAAAACACTGACTTGTACATCGGCTGGCCCCCGCAAGTCATTGTATAGGCCACATCGCATTCAAACGCCACTGCGAATGTACAAATGGAAGTAGAATGCGTGCCGCATCCCAAAAAGGGATTGATCAACGGCAAATGCTTTATCCTTTATCCTTTAATTAGTGGAAAGGTAACTTCATTCCGGCCCGCTCAGTTTTATTCCACAACAATTAGGCAGAAAACCGTCACATCACACTCCTTCATCATGATTGCTGTTCGCTCACTTAGCCTGAAGTCCCGGGTCTATGAACAGGATTCGCGGGGAAGGTACGGACTCAAAACCAAAGAACGGTCGGCAGCTGCACAACGGTATCGTAGGTTGTACTGTAGGGTGGTGTCCAGCACCGGCGCGCGATTCGCGCGAATCGCAAAATTAGCCATTTCTTCATTTGAACATTTGGAACTGGAATGGTGGATAGTTGGTTCCATAACAGTCGTTCGGCTAGCCAACTATCAGCAGAGATGGCAGAAGTACTCTCAGATTGAGATCGTTCGCGACGTGTCGCGGACTTGAACAGCCTATCGCGCTTTAAAAAAAGGCAAATGTGTGGGCGCACAAATGTTTTTAGTCTGGTCGCTGTCTTGTGAATGTGTAAGGATTTCAAAGAAATAATCTTATAGGATTTGAAACAATATTTATCGGGTGCTTGTAGGCATGGAGCAGCGTGAAAGTTAGGTAGTCCTTTCGTTAATCATTGCAGTGGGTAGTGAAAGTATGCCGTTTGCAAGAGTGACCTCAGCGCTCACCTTGGCATTCAGAATGTGGCATTCCGGATACGTTGTAAGTTAGATATTATAAAACTGCATTTGATTTCAGGTATGGAGAACAGGCTTGCCGCGAAGCTTGAAGTCAAGAGCACTACGACAGGGTCGTACGCGTCATGGCTTGCACCGACTAGGGAATTGGCGCAGCAGGTGAGCCTTCGTTTTTTTTCAGATCCAAATAAAATACTGATTCGCATTCGTTATGCTTGTACTGTTATCCAACTCATAAGTACATCAACTATGTTCAATTATTCAGATCGAAGAGGAAACCAATAAGTTCGGAGAATTGCTGAAGATCCGAACTGTCTCAGTTATAGGAGGAGCCTCGCGTGAAGATCAAGGAATGAAACTCCGAATGGGAGTCGAAGTAAGTTAGATGGTGTTTTCATGAGCCCAAATGGATCTCCATCGTATGCTTCTGGAAGTAAATTTTCTTTTCAGCAATTGCTGCTGTTTTTCAGGTTGTCATTGCCACTCCCGGGCGTCTTTTAGACGTACTGGAAAATAGATACCTTCTTCTTAACCAATGCTCCTATGTTATTCTCGATGAGGCTGATCGTATGCTGGACATGGGATTTGAGCCGGAAGTTCAAAAGGTTCCAAATTCATGGATTGTTTTTGATCAATGTTGCCATGTGTTTATATTAGGATTTCCCAAAAGTTCGTGCTTGTTCTAAAACTTCTGTTTTTTGGGCCCTACTTTTTTAAAACACTTTCCTCCATCAGTATGTGACCATCACCAACTATGGCTTGTCGTCAACAAGAAGCCAAACGGTGCATGGCTTACGTCCAAGATGTTTGTGGTTTCGACAAAAAAAGATTTTAGCTCGATCTCGAGGCGCCTAGGGGAATTGAATTTTTATTTTGCAAAGTGGCTACTGAGAAGGAGAGTAGATTGCATTTTCGAGGGCTAGTCTGCGTTGTACGTGAATATTGTAGGAGTTCATACCTTAGCTTCGAAGATCCGAGCTTCATCATCTTCGAATGATCACGGTTGTCGGGAAGCGGGCATACTTTTTTTGAGTTCTAGAGGTAGTTGTTGGTGTTTCACCGTAAGAGCACCGTCAATCATAGTAGACGTGACTAGTTACGGTGCCGTAGCTAGAAGAAAGTTTCCTCTGGGGAACTCCCACAAATTCTCCATATGGCAAAAAACATCAGGACGTGTCTGATTCTTTGCTCTTCTATTGATCAGCAACTGGTCGTTTCGATGGGGGCGTTGCCATAGAAAGTTTTGCTTTCTCATCCGCAGGTCGTTGTTCCGTAGTTTAGAATTAATTATCGGGGAATTCAGAGAGAATATGTAGACTGCACTCGTTCCGCACTCTTTATCATCAGTGATCAAATCATGAAGAAATGTTTGGCAGAGCTTTAATCCTTCTACGTGAGCATGAAACCTCTGTGAACTGTGCATCTGAAATATTAGGGCGTGATGAGCACATAGCAGGTTATTCCGTGAGGACTGGCTTTGATGAGAGAGCGCAGCCTGGCAAATTCCCTCGCCTGCGGTCTTTTCTGAACAATAGTTTTTCTCCTGTCGCAGCTCATGAGCGAAGGAGATTCTCCATTCCGATACCGCGTGACGGATGAAGGAGAGATGAAGAGAGGAGACGAGGAGATGTATCGCAAGCAAATGTTTTTTGGCTCCGATCGGTTTATGGCCCAGTAGAAATTTTCAAAATAAAAGCGTGAAAGCATGGTGGCTGCTTCTTTTCTCGATGGTGAGCTCGAAGAAGACAACTAAGTGCCACCTGATTCACATATAGTTACACGTAGTGCCCTCGAGCTACGTAAACATAATTATAATTCGCTAAAGGTGGTTCTGGCGCGGGATCCAAAAACTTTACATTCAGCACATAGGAGGTTATACCGTGAGGACTCTTCGCACGGACATTTGGGGAAACTTAATATTTTCATATTTGTTTGTCGCTTGGAATTCCTGCTCGAAAATACAGTTAGCACCGATTGTTCACGTTTAGGTCCTCAGTTATATTGCCAGTTTCCAATCAGAAACCCTGACACTGATGATATTGAACACGAGGAAGCGTTAATGAACAATTTTGCTACAAGGGACAAATACCGTCAGGTTCGATCTCAGTTTTTTTCGGAGTTTCTTTTTCATGGTTCCGCTTTACTTAGAAGGTAAACTTAAAATTACTCATTACTACTGCTGAAATGAAAGATGCATTCAAACTGAGAGTGGCACTCGCTGAGGAGGTTTACTGTTCAAACAGGGCCGACCGATGTACAAGTGAATGTTTTTATCCTCTTAGACAAGTCTACTACCAATTACCCGACCCTGAAGGAGTGAAATGTTTGATTTACCCGGACGGCGCACTACACCAGGATTTGATCCTTAGACCGCACCCTTTGTAGCGCATTTAATCACCGCCAATTTCTAGGTGCCGATAACGTCCACGATATATTAGTATTTCAGCTGCAACATGATCAATTCATCGATTCATTCCTACCCCTCTTGAAAATTCTGAAAATATTCACCTGGTAATCTGGGGAAACAGTATGTTCGGTGATTACGCCTGGTAGACGAGTTCCTATTTCAACTGTAAACCTGTTTTCTGAAAGTTTTTGCAAAATGTTGCCGAGCGTTGGTCGACATTTCGAGGAAAACTTTGTCCAGTGGCTATCTTCCTGCCTTTTGGTATTCTTTTTGCATATAAACGTCAGTTATGTCGAATTGGTCCGTAAGCTTCTTTCAGAGTTGTATTATATTTTTTTGTTGGCCGCGGCCTCCTTTTTGTCGTTGGCATCAGAATCGCCACATTCAAATTGTTAAAATTGATACGATGGAATGTGATATTGCTTTATCACTATGAGCTGGAATTTCATGGATTGGATGAGCGCGAGCGGTCGATTCGTTTGAATCAGAAGCAGATAAGGTGGAAATCGAAAAACATCTTTAAACATTTCATTCGATGGTTTAGAAAACGAATAAAGCACCAATGCCGTGGAAATTTTTGTACTATATAGAGTAACTTCAATACTATCATGACACTTTTCTAACCAAATTAATAGATATATTTTTTATTACCTGACAGCATTGCCGGTTCTAGTGAACTGCAAATCTATAGCTATCTTTCTTCAGACGGTGATGTTCACGGCGACCATGTCCCCAGCCATTGAACGTTTAGCAAGAGCCTATTTACGGCGTCCTGCAGTTGTACACATCGGATCGGCAGGACGTCCCACAGAACGACGGTGCGAACAGCGCTATACTACACAGCATGACTATAAAAAGCTGTCAACTTTAGCCCCAAATTTTTTAATTTTGAATGTAATACTGGGAGTGTTGCTTATAGAAGCTGTCGTAGTAAAAGGAATGTGAGAAGTAAGGAGGAAAAGTGTAAGTGATAAAAAGTGGTGTTCAGATTGTCTACATGTTGTCAGACGACAAGAAGAGAAAGAAATCGGTCGAGGTGTTGGAGCAAACACTTGGGAACCGCTGATCATCATTCTTCGTAATCAGAGAACGGTACTGAAGACTTGTTCTTTATTATCATACTTTGCCGTTATTGCTCACCGTCCCAAATTGCTATTGAGAATTCTGTATATCTGCATGACTTTAGGGTGCTGACCTTCTAGCGAAGGGTCTCAGCAAATTGAATTTCAATCCTGTCGTCCTTCATGGTGGCAAAGGCCAGGAAACGAGAGAGTATGCGCTGCAGGCTCTCAAGGATAAAACAAAAGATATCCTTGTTGCAACTGACGTCGCAGGAAGAGGTAATTGATCCAAACAGTTGAACGTGCTAGCAAAATTTTTTTTATTTCTAATGGCCCAGCATACGAATTCTCCATCTCTACTTCCATTTATAGGTATCGATATCAAGGACGTCTCCTTGGTCTTGAACTATGACATGGCAAAGTCTATCGAAGGATTACACCCATCGTATAGGAAGGACAGGTAATTTTGTGCTGCTCATACGCTCGATATGTATCCTTGATGTATTTGTAAGGGAAGAGTAATATACAGTAATATTGAAAGGCCGCAGTGTGTCATAAATAGGAACGTTTATCTGTCCCTTAGGAAATTAAAATGTTGCTCCTCAACTTCAATTCTGCCAGTCGTGGTAAAGTCGTTTGCCCTGTTCGATCAAGGAAGGAAGTAACGGTCTCATATATCTCCTTGAGGAAATTCCATCCTGAAAGGAAGCACAGAGATTAGGAAAGTTTTGCAAGTTGCCTCACCCCTCACACTTCAGAGGGCAGGATGCCATAGCAACGTCACCTGATTAGATCTCTAAGAAGGACGGTCGTAAATGAAAAATGCGGCGGTTTCGTAACTAGGAGCCGGTTGCGCTCATGGGGTCTGGTAGGCGATTGGTGCCTCGAATGGCAACCGAAATCCCATCAATTTCGTTTGCCACTCGAGGTACAAATTGCTTCCCAATACGCGGAATTTTGATCGATGGACTACATTAGACTGGAATGAATTCTGCTGATTTCATTTCTCACATTTCACAGTAATCTTCGATCTCTCTTTCGATTTACTCACTGAAGCGTTTTCCTTGATCCGCTTCCTTGGAAACATGACGTTTCTCTGCCTGCGAGAAAGCGTATAGTCATGAATTACAGAAATTACGTTTTCTCTTCATCGAAGTCTAAGTTAGTACTACTCAAGGGAAGCGATTACGATAAAGAGGGAGCGCATCGGGGAAGCATATGCACCACACGAAGCAGTTACTTGGCTGCCAAGGAAGCGAGGTGTGGCGCTTTCACGACGAAAGGTGCGCTGGTTGCTGAGCAGGACTTCGAAAGCGCTCCGCCCCAAAAGCGATCCGCCCACTAGTTTAGTTGGTGATTTGGACGAGCTGCGTTGCCAGCAGCGGCACAACTGGAGCAACTCGACTGGAGCGTAGTTTGGCACGATGCCACCAAGCGCGTTATGGTGAACTCGTTCATAGGCCATTGCCAGCTTATGAGCGAAAATCAACGGCCAAACAAAGTGGTCTCGTTTTACGTTTTCTTGACGGATTTCGCTGCTTTTTTCGCCACTAGCGTACTACTGCGCATTCGCGAGTCCTCTTTGAATCTCTCTAGAACCTGTCGTGATTGGCTACTAGATGAGTGAAATGTTGCGAAAAAGTGTAAAAGAGTAGGTGTCGTATGTAATGTGGTACGAAGCGTTGTGGCAGTTATTACCTCAAAAGCGACGTTAATAGGTCATCAAAAGCTGGGCAGACCGCCCACTATTGTGGTGTGATCATCTGTCGTTTCGTTCCCCGCCATGCTTTCCCCTATCCGTCTGTCATTCTCATTACCTTCTATCTCACTGTCTACCTCTCACAAGGGAAGTTGTTTGGGCCGTAGAATGCTTACTAGAGATGGCTTATTGTATACGGTGAGAGCACATGCATAAGATATTGAAACGGTGTTTATTTTCCAAGCGGTCGTTGGTGCTAAAATAAGTGGTAACAATGGCACAGGGCTCAATTCCCCCTACCTTCCTTCCCATCCCCCGAGTGGCAGAATTTCTCCATTTTCTTTTAATTGTAAGTGTTCATATGAACTCATTCTATGAGCTCATACGTTCATTCTTCAATGACTGAACGCCAAAAATCCATATAATATTTTAAAACTGCGAGAATTTCACTTCTTGATAGAAACTTTCCGCTTTTTTCGGCAATCTCAGCGCAGATCAGGAAAAATGAACCTCTGTTGTACTTTTCCGTGCGCGTGCCTCTATGCAGATCGGAAAACTGTCTTTGTCGCTTTTTTTCTTTTTTTTTGGCTGGCGGACCATTTCGCACTCTTCCTTTTGTAATCGAGCAGGATTGTCACACTAACGTGTTGGGGGTGGGGAGAGGTGCCATCAACAACTTGACAAACAACTTACAGCGTAGCGAAGCTTTTCATCTCCACCATTAGTCACTGCGGTTTCCAAAAATATTCACTTCGGAAATAGTGCAGAGGCAAAAGCGACTATTCTGGGGCCGGGTGCAGCAAGCCCCGCGAGAGGGGATGGGTCCCTAAACCCTCCATCTCTCGACACATCCCCCTAGTCTTGATCACGAGGAATACGTCATCGACCGAAGTAGAGGCGCAGAGATTTGGGTAACGCATCCCCTGACCGGGCCCTTTTTTCTTAGCTCGGTAGATTGATCGGAATGAACTTTTTAGGATTCTTTTCACATGGGGCTCCAACTGAGTATATCCTACTAACAAGATCTCAGTTGCATAAAGGAACACAAAGAAGAATAATTACTGTTAGTTTGCAAGGGGGTTCTCTTTGAATGAGGATGTTACGTCATACCAAATGAAAAATGTTAGCGGTTTCTTTGCGAAAAGCGCACATCGTGTTCCTGAAGTTGAACTAATGACGATGCATCTACTCCATGCCATTCGGTGACGCCTTCTCAGAGCGCCTCGCCTCGCAAGTAGATTGCTGTAGCATCGTAGAGTAGGGGGGGGGGTGCTGTGATCATTGTTGTACGTTGTAGCATACAGAGCATTTCTGAACGATATGCAAAAACTGAGCAGTGTACGAGCGCACCCTCCGCCTTAACAATATTAACTGGTAATTGGTGCACGGCAATATTTGCTGGCGGGAGAAAAAGAGACATAGAAGTGCTGGCACGCTCAATGGTTGTAGTTGGTGTTGCGACAATCAGAGCCCCATACAGAAATTCGTTGAGTTAAGATTGATGCAGCTGTGTGTGTTGACGTCGTTAGTGGCTTAGTTCTCCTTGACGTTTTTCATCTAAAAGTGTGTAATGAGGAATTCACTTCTTGACAGCGGGGTAATCTACGTGCGCGTTGATTAGCTGCGCTGGCTGCTGATGGAATTCTACTCGGGCTAGTTGGCCAACTAGAAAACCCTAAATGAGTCTAATGCTGATGGCAGTTGGCGTTTTTCATCATCGTAATTCCTTTCTCTCATTATCTCAAATCGGTGTTGATTAATCTTCTTTTTCGTTTTTGGAGGAGAGGATTTCTGAAAAAGAACGGTCCGGCTCGGTTGTAGTTTTTTGATTTGATGGTTCTTGCGGGCCTTGCTATTCTCTGCAGATGCTTATCGTGGTCGCCCTTTAGTGATAATGAAGGCAATATTAATCCTGGGCACCTCCTGTTCACGCTGGATTCTGCGATCTTTTTAACGACCTAAAACAACGCCGTTCCAAACGCTCGAGAGTGTTGGAGAGCCTCAGAGTGAAAGCTATAGGCTATAGCTTTAATCTGTAGTTATGAAATGCTTTCGAGGCTGAACTTCGACATCCAACAGAAATTATATTTGTAGGCCAAGGCATCTCTCCCTGAAGGCTTCAGTGGAGGTCAGGCCAATTGCCAGGCTTGAAGTTTCTCATAAGAACCAAGGAATGAAGATCGCCTTTATCATTTTCTCCGTGGGATGCGCCATGGCTTTCTGCTTTCAAACTCATTTAGTGGCAATCTGCAACAATTTGACCCAATGATTACTCAAGGGTCCCCTTAGGCGAATCCAGTGCCATTTTACCAGCAAGGAGGAACGGTAGGCCTAGCTGGCCTAATTGACACTCGATTGGGGATTTGACTCCATGACGGTGTGTGTAGGAGTGGCCTCATTTGCCATCATACCACGTACGTGCTTTCACTATTTTTCCAGGCAATGGAAACTTCACCGTCCGATGCTTTATCGTGTTGATCGCATGCAAAAGTTGAATTTTTTTCTCTTGGACTTGGGGGGGGGGGGAATATTCGCGGTCTGACAATCTGTTTTCTTGCGGAACTGACAAGGTAGTTGGCCACTTTTCAAACTGCTATGCACCCGCCAAGAACCACCAAAAAAGGGGAGTCAGTGAGTGTCCCCAATGAAAATCTTGCAGTTAAGCTTCAACTCAAAATTTCAAAGAGATTCCAAGAAGTTTCTATTAGTCTTTTGGTGTTCATCAGTTGCCGTTACTTCGTAGGGGGATTTTCTGCTCGTTTTCACGGCTTTTAGCTAATGTGCCGCGAGTGCAGTGTTTGGTCGTTGGCAGCGTTTTTCTCGGTGGCCCGTTGTCGCGTAAAGGATCGATCTGCCATGGCTGTTTTTCGCGTGTTAGTGCGGTAGTGCGCCCGTGAGAACGCAACCTCGCCGGGTGTTGCATTTGTTTTCAGTGACGGCGATGCAGGCGGCTCGCACAGCATGCCGAGGCTGCTGACGATCAATAGCCAGCCTCCACTCGGCGACGACGGCTTATGCCTTGCCTCACAGGACCCTGTGTGTGTGTGAGCGTGTGTGTGTCTTTCTATTTGTTATTCGTGTCCGCCACGTGCTCTCCCATTTCCAGCCGACGTTTGCGCACAATTCACTCGGCACCTTTCACTTCCATACTCATCGCTTTAGTTTTTATCTTGCCGAAACTCCTAAGTGTCTCGCTTGTCCAGTTTTCACGTGATGCGGTGAGCGCGCGTCTGCCATCGTCGCCAATTTTTCTCCCAACTCTCCGTATTTGCTCTTCATCTTCGTGAATATCATTTTCTAGTTAACCCGATGCATAATGTCGCAGTTTCGCGTTGTATTTTGGCATTCGACTCCAGTTTTAGTGATATTCGTCCTTTCGCTTGTAACAATTAATCAATTATTAAAGCAAAACATTAGACAGTTTTTATAATTAGGCGTTTCCGTATGGGAGTCGCAGGCGTGAGAGTGTTGAAAGAGGTGAGCTCTGCTAATATCTGTAGTTGTCATGGAAATAGAGCCTTCGGCTGTTCGTGCCACGAAGTTCTTAATGAACAGCGGACGTCCCTATGATGAGTGCATTTCGATATTATCTGGAAATAGAGTCGGTAAAGTGGCGGAAACACTCGTCTTTTCACAGCTCCCAGATCTTGTATGCATGGTGTGGAACATGTGGGAACCGAGGTGGCGAGTTACTCTCACCCATGCGCACTTTTGCAGCTCATTGTACAAATGTTTACTCTGCTAGAGAGTTCTTTACCTAAACAA